TCCAATATTATCAATAAAAAGGAAGAACAAAAGCCAGGTATAGCAGGTGTAATATATGAGTGACATCTACTCTCAGGGTCTGAGGCGGATATTTGGATGGACCAACAACTCAATACCACAGGTTAGAAATAGAAGAGAACAAAAGAATGATTCATAAGGAATGTGCATACTATTGTAATCACATGATGGCAGATTGAATATTGTGGAAAAACTCTCTTAATGTAAACATCTTGGTGATAAGTTACAACAAATATTTTATCATAAGTCGAGCATTTAAATGTAAAGGAGATTCCCAAGGGTACAAACAAAAAAAACAAAAACAGAGGGATAAAATCAGAGTGGTAAGCAAGGAAGCCAGGGCTGGGCCTATATAATGTGGCAGGAAACTAACCTTCCTCCAGCCTGCCTAAAGCTCTAAGGAAATACACCCTCACTGAAAGGCTAAAAAGGAAAAAAGTCTGCCTCTTAGCAAAGATAGCCAATGAAGAAAACTATTTCTACCGTGTTGCCAAATGGAAAATACAAACCACAATAACCATTATAGTCTTCTCTGAGAATTTGTAACCATAGCCCTGCCCTCATATGAGCCTGGGGTTCGAATTTATACTACTCGTTCATTTGAAAACCTCAAGCCAAAAATAACTAAAGTGTCAGCAGGTTGGTAGCAAGTCCTGGTGCATGGAAGAAGCAAAAGTAAATCTCCTTTAGGGGTAAATGTTTTTCAACTCAGACCCCTCAGTATTCGCACAGATTTAAATTCAGACAGATAAGAGCTTAACCAAAAATAACCAAATGCATGAAAAAGTAAACCACTTGGCTGGCAGGAGGAGTGTTTGAGTATGGGTAGCAAGAGAGAGGGGAGGATAGAGAAGTCTTCTGCTTCTACCATTTAAAAACAGAATTGCCTGAAAATAACAAAGAAAGTATGAAATATGAAGTATGCCTTATCAGAATATATCAGAACATGTCATAAAGCCAGTATATTCAAACTAATATGAGTTGAGCACAGAATTGACTAATAAATCAGTGAAACATGATATTCCATAAGTAAATCGTGATATTTGCATATTTTAAGGATGACAATGGGAGTATTTCAATTAATTCATTTCTAATGGTACTCATACAAACTGGTCATCAATCTAGAACTTAAATTAGACTCCTCTCTTATGCATCATTCAGAAGTAAATTCCGGGTTGATTAAAGATTTGAGAGTAAAAAAAATTAAAGTCATAGCAATCTTTTGAGAAAATCTAGGAGATTACATTAACAATCTGTGGATGAGGGAGACCATCTCTCTAAAAACTGAAATCTCAAATGTTGAGAAAAATTAGTCAAATTTAGCTATATTAAATTTTTAGTGCAGTAAAGATTACCTAAGTAGGATCAATAGGCAACAACAATAAAAATAATAGATTTGGAAAAAATATTTGCAGCATAAAGGACAGACCGAGGGTTAATATCTATAATATTTAGAGTTCTTATAAAGGGGCAAGTACAGTAAACAACTCATCAGAAAAAAATGGGCAGAGGAAATAAGGAAATTCAAGGAGCAAAATCTGCATGACTTATAAACATAAGAAAATATGCTTAAACTCTCTAGTAGTCAGGGAAATATGAATTAATAGTGAAATGAGGTTATATTCATTAGAGTAGGAAAGGAAAGGGCTTTTAGATGTATTTCTTGATGCGATTTCTATAAGATATTTTTGAATGAGAAAAGCAAATATGGAAAAGTGTGTATGCTATGATTTTAATTTTTATAACACAAAAAATTATGTTTAAAAACCTCCTATAATAGATGTATTTATACTATGTATATATATTTTTGTGTATGTGTATGTGTATATATTTGTATATGTTTATATGAACTTGGAGAAAAATATTCAAAGATATACATTAGTAAGTTAACTTGGTCAATCTGGGTAGCCAATAAGAAAGGAGAGCCAAGGGAAAAAAAAAAAGAAAAGAAAAAGACCATACAAATATAAAAATATAAAGAACAACTATCCTTTAAGGATTTGCTTTATAACATTGTCATGTAACTATATAAACCAGTGTGATACCATAACAAGTATAACATAATTAGTGTCAGAATATTTAGACTCAGTCTCAACCCCACTACTACTGAAGCCATATGACCTTAATCAAGTGCTTCACTTCTCTGGTTATGTTTGTTGTTCTTTAAAGTGGAGATAATAAAACCTACTTTACAAAACTGTAGAGAGGATCAAATGAGAAAATACATGTGTAAGTTACTGGCATACCTATCCTGTAATAGATGCTCAGTAAATCTATCACCCTTCTACCCTTTAAAAATATTTAATTTTCACAATGTGATTATTCTAGATTATGTGTGACCATCCAAGAAGCTAACCAATTAAGTGCAGAAAAAACACGTCTGGAAATACAGAACAGAGAGCTGCAAGTAAAGTGCACTGAATTAGAAAATGAGAAATACGATGCTATTATAAGAGCCAGAAATAGCATGCAACTCTTAGAAGAAGCTAACCTTCAAAAAAGTCAGGTAAGAAAACTAGTAAACATATTCATAAATAATAAAGTGCCAAACATTCTCCAACATGACCTAATAGTAGGGAAATCAATAGCTGCAGAATAAATGCATGAAAATGAAATTACTACTCTCTTAATAGACATACTATCTCTTGGATGGTAAAACAATATAAAATATGATAAAATGTCAATCCTTTCCCAAAACTAATATATAAATATCAGACTTTTCTTATGTCCCCAATCCCTATGTAACCAATCTTCATCCCCTGTAGTATCATACTTTTTAAAAATCTGTTATAGTACTTTACTGCAGTATACCATATATTTTATTCAGTTGAGTCAAATGAATCTTATTCATCTTTATTTCCTCTTCACCGCCTACACAATTACTCTAATAGAGCAGAAACTTAATTGACAGAATTAAATTTAGCTTTAAAGATTTATTAACTGCAGTCTTCATTTCATTTTTCTTTTTTTTTAACCTCAAGCAATTATGATTCCTATGCTATCACATACTGTGTTTTTTGTCTTATACCACTTCCATATGAATGACATATAGTTTATAGAAGTCACAGTGTAGATAGATTTTTTTAAATTTTGCTGCCTCCCTTGTATAGAGCTCGTTATCATGAATTCATTTACCAACATTTATTGAATGCTATAATATATACAGACTACTCTGCTGGGAAATATTGGGAGGGGGTACAAAGGAAATCCTTTATTTTGTTTATGTTTCCTTTTTTACATGGTGGAGGGTTCTCCAACAGAGCTACTAAAAACAGAATANATTTCTTGATGCGATTTCTATAAGATATTTTTGAATGAGAAAAGCAAATATGGAAAAGTGTGTATGCTATGATTTTAATTTTTATAACACAAAAAATTATGTTTAAAAACCTCCTATAATAGATGTATTTATACTATGTATATATATTTTTGTGTATGTGTATGTGTATATATTTGTATATGTTTATATGAACTTGGAGAAAAATATTCAAAGATATACATTAGTAAGTTAACTTGGTCAATCTGGGTAGCCAATAAGAAAGGAGAGCCAAGGGAAAAAAAAAAAGAAAAGAAAAAGACCATACAAATATAAAAATATAAAGAACAACTATCCTTTAAGGATTTGCTTTATAACATTGTCATGTAACTATATAAACCAGTGTGATACCATAACAAGTATAACATAATTAGTGTCAGAATATTTAGACTCAGTCTCAACCCCACTACTACTGAAGCCATATGACCTTAATCAAGTGCTTCACTTCTCTGGTTATGTTTGTTGTTCTTTAAAGTGGAGATAATAAAACCTACTTTACAAAACTGTAGAGAGGATCAAATGAGAAAATACATGTGTAAGTTACTGGCATACCTATCCTGTAATAGATGCTCAGTAAATCTATCACCCTTCTACCCTTTAAAAATATTTAATTTTCACAATGTGATTATTCTAGATTATGTGTGACCATCCAAGAAGCTAACCAATTAAGTGCAGAAAAAACACGTCTGGAAATACAGAACAGAGAGCTGCAAGTAAAGTGCACTGAATTAGAAAATGAGAAATACGATGCTATTATAAGAGCCAGAAATAGCATGCAACTCTTAGAAGAAGCTAACCTTCAAAAAAGTCAGGTAAGAAAACTAGTAAACATATTCATAAATAATAAAGTGCCAAACATTCTCCAACATGACCTAATAGTAGGGAAATCAATAGCTGCAGAATAAATGCATGAAAATGAAATTACTACTCTCTTAATAGACATACTATCTCTTGGATGGTAAAACAATATAAAATATGATAAAATGTCAATCCTTTCCCAAAACTAATATATAAATATCAGACTTTTCTTATGTCCCCAATCCCTATGTAACCAATCTTCATCCCCTGTAGTATCATACTTTTTAAAAATCTGTTATAGTACTTTACTGCAGTATACCATATATTTTATTCAGTTGAGTCAAATGAATCTTATTCATCTTTATTTCCTCTTCACCGCCTACACAATTACTCTAATAGAGCAGAAACTTAATTGACAGAATTAAATTTAGCTTTAAAGATTTATTAACTGCAGTCTTCATTTCATTTTTCTTTTTTTTTAACCTCAAGCAATTATGATTCCTATGCTATCACATACTGTGTTTTTTGTCTTATACCACTTCCATATGAATGACATATAGTTTATAGAAGTCACAGTGTAGATAGATTTTTTTAAATTTTGCTGCCTCCCTTGTATAGAGCTCGTTATCATGAATTCATTTACCAACATTTATTGAATGCTATAATATATACAGACTACTCTGCTGGGAAATATTGGGAGGGGGTACAAAGGAAATCCTTTATTTTGTTTATGTTTCCTTTTTTACATGGTGGAGGGTTCTCCAACAGAGCCAACATTTATTGAATGCTATAATATATACAGACTACTCTGCTGGGAAATATTGGGAGGGGGGTACAAAGGAAATCCTTTATTTTGTTTATGTTTCCTTTTTTACATGGTGGAGGGTTCTCCAACAGAGCTACTAAAAACAGAATATAAGTTGGATATTAAGAAGCTAATAAGAAATAAAAAAGAAATAATTATCCAACTCAAACTGTGGGAATGCTATGGTACTTGTCATGCCTCTCAGCTAATCTTCCCATCTGTGATCTGAATACTGTCTCTTAGCATAGTTAAAAGGCACACTATAGACATAACGTGCTTGGAAATTGTTCTAAACACCTAAGTTAGCTAGAAGAATTGACAGGACAAAATAGTTTATCTCTACCCTCTGAAACCTGGTCGTACAAACAGTCTTAATGTCAGATCACTAAAAATGAACACCTATGTGGAGCACAATGGACAGAGAAGGTAGTAGGGATCTCATTGCCTGTTCCCCCAAATCTTGTCACTCAGGTCCTAAATCAACAGACCCTCTCAGAGATTGTCTATGGATAAAACATTAAGCTCCTTCTTGACTCATTGCTTAATTGCTAGAGGGTTCCCATCTTCATTTGTTTGTTCAAAGTCAAGAGTCCTCTCAACTGATCATACCAACAGGCAGGAAGCACAGCGTAGCATAGTTCCCCTTTCCTCATTGTCCCATCCTCCCCTCAAGGTTGTTATATAACAGCAGCTGTTACTTCTTACTAGCTTACTTATTTAAGCTAGAGGAAATTTATTTAAAAACAATTTAAAAAAAAAGATGAGAATGTATATGGTATCTTGGAAGATGATAGGATCTGCACAAAGGGCCAGCAGCTGTTACTTCTTACTAGCTTACTTATTTAAGCTAGAGGAAATTTATTTAAAAACAATTAAAAAAAAAAAGATGAGAATGTATATGGTATCTTGGAAGATGATAGGATCTGCACAAAGGGCCACTTATCTGTTGATGAAAAAAGAAATTCTATCTGCCCTAATTGGAGAAGTTCCGAGCTCAGAAAGATGTTTGGGTTAGAGTTGTAAATTTGGGAATTGTCAATATACAAATGATATTTAAAACTATGACATCTGATTAGACCACCGAGGGATGGGCATAGATGAAGAAGAGGACCAAGAACTGAGCCTTGGGTAGCTCAGGTTTAAGAGGCTCAGGAGAAGAGGAAGAATCAACAGTGCAGACTGAAAAGGAATTATCAGTGAGGGAGCAGGAAAATCAAAACTATGGTGTACTGAAAGCCAGATGAAGAAGGTAAAACAAGAAGAAAGTCATCAATTATCTCATGCTGCTCATAAATCAAATAAGTAGTGAAAATTGACTCATAGATAATCAGATCAGTATGGAGGTCATGGTGGCAAAAGCCTGATTGGACAGAGTGTAAAAGAGAATGAGAGGAAAAGTGTTGGAGATAAGCAAGTTTTAGAGGAGTTTTGCTCCACAGGGAAGCAAAGAAATGGGGCATGACTAACAACTGAACTAGGATTATGGCAATATTTTTTTGGCAGGAGATGGAAATGATTGGAGGGATAGAAACACATCAAAGAGACAAAATAGGTGGTGTCTGCAATGATCGAGGTGTGAGGTGATGAGGGACATCATTTGAATAATACCAAATAATGGAAAATAAGGGAAATCCAAGATATTTTTCCAAGGATATAATACCTAGATTTGATGACTGACTTGTATAGGGACTTGAAGGAGAAGGAAAATTAAAAAATGGTTCTGGTGCTAAGGATTTCCAGCTGCAGAGATTAGAAGAGTGATGGAAACACTGGTGGAAATAGATGCAAAAAGGACAGGTTTTTAGTTAGGACAAGGACAGGTGAGGAGTTTTGGGAAAATAAATACCAAGGTTTTCAAGTGTCCTGGAAATTTAGAATAAGATGTTTACTTTAAAGAGAGTGATGAGTGGATAGGTTTTTACCATTATTGTCTTTACTGATAATAATGTGATGTATAACATGAAATGATTGTTTTCTGAAGGCTCTGCTTGAGGAGAAGCAAAAAGAAGAAGTTATACAGAAAATGACAGAAAAAATTTCTCAGCTTCTACAAGATAATGCCATAAGAACCAACAAAGAAGTAAGGGATTTTTAATTACATTTAAAATTCAAAGTTTGTCACAACTAAATACTGCTAAATATTTTTAAATTAATGTACTTGCCTACATATTCATAAAGATTATATATGAAATTATTAACATAAATGGTTAGAAACAAATGTTTCTTTCCTTTGAAATAAGCTTCTGTAGTATATTGAGATATACTATATAGTCCTCCATTAGATAAAATAAAGGTGTTCATTTTTTTTCTTACCTGTATTTTTCTGTGGGCACTATTATTTCCGTCCTAGGTGAACTGCTATTTTAAACTGATTTTTTTTTCTTTTTGTCTTTCTTTTTGTGACCGGTAACGGGATCGCAACCCTCGGTGTCGCGCCCGTACCGCAACCAGCAACGGGAT